TGTATGGATATTTAAAAGAAGAAAGAATCTTCAAGTTGTGAGCTACAAGATTGGTCATCCTAAAAACTATTGAAAATTTAGTACATTGGTTGTTGTTCATGCATTTATCACCATTAGTATGCAGTTTAAGTTTTTCTGACGTACCGATGTGCCACATATACTTAGTTATGCCCGTTACCCACAACGGATCATAGGCTGTCGACCAGTATTCTCCAACCTACGCTGTACTGGGCCAGCCTTTACAGTTCTGTCCAATTTTTGTTCATTCTTCTCATGTCTGTCCCCGATTTTCGGCGTAATGTGTTCCTTGACCTTCCTCTTTTCCTTCGACATTGAGGGTTCCAAGTGAGGGCTTGTCTTGTGACGCAGTAGGGTTCTTTCCGCGATATGTGCCCTATCCACTTCCTGTACTTCTTCCTGATTTCCTCCTCCACTGGAATCTGGTTTGTTCTCTCCCACAGTAGGTGGTTGCTGATGGTGTCTGGCAAACGAATCCGAAGTATTTTGCGTAGAAAACTGTTGATGAATACTTGTATCTTCTGGATGATGGCTTTCGTAGTTCTTCAAGTTTCCGCCCCATACAGTAGAACTGTCTTGACATTTGTAATGAAAATCCTGACTGGCGTTGGTTAATAGTTGTTTTGAGTTCCAGAAGGCCTTCCAAAGTAAAGATGCTGTCTTTGCTTTGTTGATCCGCACCTCCACATCCGCATCAGATCTACCTTGCTCGTCAATGATGCTTCCCAGATAAGTGGAAGTTTCGACATCTTCCAAAGCTCCGTTAATTGTGATTTGTCTAGTGCATGTTGTGTTGTATCGGAGAACCTCGATCTTGTTCTTGTGTATCCTAAGACCTACGGTTGCAGAGGTATCTTTTACGCTGTCGTCGTCTTCTGAATTTATTGTTGCTTGTGCGTAGTCTATATCGTTCAGTTATATCCTGGCTGTCCACTATATCCTATGCTTCCCTCCAGGTGTTGACGTCTTCGAACTCTAATCAATGACCAGGAGAAAGAGGAAGGGTGGGAGTAAGCAACCTTGCCTCACACCGGTCTTCACCTCGAACGAGTATGTTAGCTGTCCTCCATGCACGATTTTGCAGTTGAATCCATCATAAGATTTCCGTATGATGTTGACCATCTTCTCAGGCACACCGTATTGTCAAAGAAGTCTCCATAGTGTTGTCCTGCCCACAACATCAAATGCTTTCTCGTAGTCGATGAAGTTGATGTAGAGTAGTGAGTTCCACAATGATCCGTAATGCTGCAATTTGGTTGGTACACGATCAATCCTTACAAAATCCAGCCTGTGGATATCGATGTTGGGCGTCTACGAAGTCCTTCATTCTGTTTAGCGACACCCTGTCGAAGACTTTGTCTGGTATTGAAAAGTGATACCTGTGTAGTTCTCACGCTTGCTGAGATCGCCTTTTTCTGTATTTTGATGAGGTATCCTTCGTTTCAGTCTGTTGGTACTGTTGAAGAGAATATGGTGTATTTTTGTGGTTGCTGCAACATCTACCTTTAGTGCCCAAGCTGGAATGTTATCTGGTACTTCTGCTTTGCCACCCGTGATTTGTTTGATGAGCATACTGATCTCTTCAATTGTTGGTGGGCCTACATTGACTGAGAGGTCCGTGGATTCTGCTTCGATGTTGGGTGGGTTCAGTGTAGCTGGTCGATTCAAGAGTTCCTTAAAGTGCTCTACCCACGTGTTCTGCTGTTCTTCCGTGTTACTTATTACTTTGTCTTCTTTACTTTTCACTGGCCGTTCTGGTTCACGATAGTTTCCAGCAAGCTTCCTTGTTGTATCATACGAGTGTCTCATGCTGTTTTCTTTTGCAGCCTTTTCCGCCGTCATTGGTAGGTGTCTCCCATATTTGCGTTTGTCGGCTCTGATGCTCCTCTTCACTTGCTTGTTTGCATCTGTGTATTCAGCTTGTGCCTTGGCTTTCTCTGCTCTTGTTCGGCTAATGTTGATTGCTGCCTTCTTTTTCATCCGTTCTTGAATATTATCCAGAGTATTAACAGAGATGCATTGCTCGTGATGGTACTTCTTGCGGCCCAAAACCTCGTGACATGTTGAAGGGGTTGCCTTCTTAATCCCTTTCCGATTGTGCTACATAGTTGTTTCCTTTCATTGAGTAGATCGTGCAAGGCCTACAACCTATTACTCAAGACTATCTTGAATTCGTTGAGTTTTATGGTATCCCGAAGAAAGTTCGTATAAAACTTTTGTGATGTTTTCCACCCCGTTGTCCAGCGCTTTTTGAATCTCAGTTTCATTTTGGTGACCAGTAATTGGTGATCCGAGTCTACATTAGTTCGTCTTACTTCTCATGTCCTCCATGGTCCTTCTAAACTTTTAATTGATACAGATATGGTCGATTTGGTTGTGTTTAGTATGACCCAGTGAAATCCATATGGCTTTGTGTATGCGATTGTGTGAGAATATTGTTGAAGGCACATAGGTTTGCAAATCTTTAACCGTTTTTGTTCCTTTCTCCCAATCCATGTCGTACCATGACATCTTCGTATCCAGTGTTGTCCTTGCCAACTTTGGCATTTAGCTCTCCCATCAGAATGGTTTAGTCTGTTGTTAGGTATTTGTCAACAATTGACTGCAGCCTCTCGTGGATTTGATCTTTAACGTCTTCATTGTAGTCGTTGGTAGGTGCATAACATTGGATGACGTTCATTATAGTTCTCTCTTTCGTCGTTTTGAAGGATGCTATGATGATCCTTGGTCCATGAGATTCCCATTTTATGTTTGGATAGTGTCAGTGTGACTCGTTGTGTATGTGAGACATTTTCTTCTTCATGAGCGGGGTATAACAGTAGCTCTCCTGAAGCTAGTTTTTGTTGTCCAACCTATGTTCAATGCGTTTCTTTAATTCCAAGCACCTCTAGGTTATATCTTTTAATTTCTGCAGCAACCTGGACTAGTCTTCCAGTCTCCTACAATGTTTGAACATTCCATGTACCTAAAAGAATAGTTGGTGTAGTTGTGAGAAGGGCATCGGGCTTGTGACTAACGAAGGAACTTAGCTTTCATCATGAGACGTCATAGCTCTTTCGAAAGATCTTGTAACTCCCAGAACAGAGTTAAAATGGTTTCATTTGTTTGATCTGGTTAGCGTTTTTGTAGCGAGTTAACTTTTTCATGGGATCGGGTTGTCGAACTTCATGTCCAACCCTCCTCTTTTATTCGTGCTTGAGACTGACAGCAGCCCAGGAGGATCTATAAGCGGAGTGCTGCATATAACTAACTGATTAACTTATTACTATTTACAAACTATTTAAGATTGACTTTTTACCATGATTATTAACTACTAAATATTTTCATTCCTCAGTTCTACTTTTATTTATACTCATTTTCATCAAATTTAAATATGCATATTTATACTTGATGCATAAATTCCACTGTAATCAGTACAAAGAATAGAAAAAAAATTTTAAATGATCAACTTTACAATATGTTTAAGTACATGTGATTACTAATCGGATAATTACTCAATCAAATACTATTATAAAACATGGAAAACAAATGATTGTAATTATTTTCATAACTGAAAAAATAATTAGCCCTAAAAATTTTAGTCAGCCTACCATATCATTACTGTGTAATTATGTAGTGTAGCAAAATAACATAATCAAAACCAAGCTTTTTTTTCCATCATATTCAAAGATTTTCTTGACTATTTACTCTTTTTTAAAATAACCTATTAACTAAGTAAGTGGTCGAATCTAATCGACCGATAATCATTAGATCGTACATTTAAAAATGATTCCGTTGAACTTGCTAAGATTTATCAAATTGTTTATTTATTCAATCATTACATAATGATTTTTCTTCATGTCTTCAGAGTATCTGTTTAATGATCATAGATCATTCATTACACCAAGTGGATGTACCACTAATTAAATGTTTGATATGGTTTTTTTCTGATTACAATGCTTATATTAGTTCTAGTGTAAAACTTTCCAGTTTACTACACTTAGCCACTTCAAACTAAGGATTGTCATTATTCACTGTATAAACATGTTGCCCATCCATAGACTGGATCAGAATCAATTTTAAATTTTTTAAACTAAACTAAAGATCAATTCCTTTTGTTACATAAGAGACTAGAAATTTTCACAGTTTCTCATATAAACCATTCTAATACCAATGATATGTACATTTCTATGTATGTGGAAAATAGCTAGATAACAATTGGTTTTTATTACCAAATAAATCAATACTATTGTAGTTTCTTTCATAATCATGTTACTGAAGATTCGAAAGATAAAAATAATCGTTAAAAATAAATTTCATTGAAAGTAGGGAATGTATGTATCACTAAACAAGTACAGATTATTTTATTTGACTGTCACTAATTGTTTATATAAGTACTCTAAAAACCCACCCTATAAACTAATCAACAGAATTTGGTCATGTACAATTGAAGCCGTCGGTAACTCTCTATTCACAAGCTGGAACAGCTTAATCACTAGATCATTGTTTTACAAAACGTTAGCCGAAGTGGAATTCGCGTTTTATTACCAATGTAAATAGTTTATTATTATTATTGTTGCCACAGCCCGATTATTACAGCTATCATGTACTCACTAGTAACTAGCCTCGTGGGGGAGTTCTAGTGAGATGTCATGACCAGTGGAGTTCAGCCGTGTCTGATGTGAGGCTGTTACCCACCGAAAACACTGGATGAGATCGCTCAATATTGTGAATTGATTGATTTTAGACATTAACACCGCTGGGTACCGGCTCAGTGGTTTAGATGTTAAACGTTTGCACTTGGGATCAAAAGTCCTAGGTTCGATTCCTGCATTATTTATGAGTGCCATACTAGGACAAAATGGCCGTTCAGTGCATCCAGGTGTCTAATGGTGGTCTGACATTGATCGATCCATGAGTTCAATAAAACTTATTATTATTATTATTATTATTATTATTATTATTATTATTATTATACATAAACATATTACAATTTCTTTCAGATTTTGACAGTCACAATGCCGGTGTTAACTGTTCAAGAACCATAAGAATTTCAGAAGATCATCGTGAATTTATTCTAATTATTTTTACTCTTGATTATTTCACTGAAATTTAAATATAATCTTGAATTGTATAAATGATAGTCGATTTCCTACTAAATCTTGTTTTCGCTTTCAAAATACAATACACAACAAGGGGAAATTCTTTGTATCAAATGAAATAATGTAGTCTGTTCATTTATACGGTCTCATGCATGGATGGACACTGTTAAGGAATATTAGTCTGCTAGAGAGTAGTCAGCATAAAATTGAAGATTTCGGTTTCGTGCTATTGAACATTCGTTAGTAATGTATACCTGCAATCTTTGAGGGACTGAATAGTTCGGACATGCGTCATCCAGTTTTACAGCTTGAGAGATGCTACCACTGAGTTAGTTGGGCCGTGATTAACTTCATGTACAACAGATGTTTACGTTCAATGACTAATGTCATACTCACTCCCAACAGCTGTGATCAGCTTCTATTGATCAAATTGCAACGTGTCCATTGGGTTCAAGCTTTCTTTACGACTACATCCAACTACCAAACATTAAACATAATACATACGATATTCAGTCACTTAAACTGGAGTCAAGTTATAACCTGCCCAATAGAATTCGATCTACACTGAAGACTAGATAAATATAGGATTGGCTACTACTCAGCGATTAATCAACGTAACTGCTAAGGAATCTTATATCAGAACACAATATCTGTCTAATGCTTTCTAACGTTAAACAGTTTAACAGCTGATATCAATTCTTAATAAAAACTTGGCCTTTAAAATTTATGAACGCTTTACAAATTTGCATCAATAACAGTTCCTTAGTTAACACTGAACATTTACTATACAATACTGTCATAGGAAGTTTAAGCAAATTCTTCCATTTGTAAACTTGAATAAAGGTAAAATAAATACCATAGCGAAAATTCGAATTAAAGTACATTAGTTTCAATTCGACTCACATTAATGGTTAACAAGTTGCAAATAAATTTTCTGGAATATGCTTCGAAGTGAATTATTCGTTAACAATGGTTTTTGACAATGTTTTTTCAATGTTTCTACATACTTTTATCTGTATCTCATGGAGAAAATTGAACTCAACTTAATTCTACTTATGATATTTATTTCCTCGATAATGTTTCTTCGTTACTTTTTCAGTATTATTAACAATCCCTGTGTATATATTCATATCTATGAATTCTGCAAAGCTTTTACATTAATTATTGAAAAGTTTATGACTCGTGTAATAGTTAAGAAATGATTTCATCTTTTAAATATCATGATTTAATTGAAAAACTATAAGAATTCACTGAGTCCTACTTGATGAATAAAACAAGAATTATGTATTTATATATTTGAAATTAAACAATAAGAATATTCAGTTTAAGACTTCACAAGACGCTAAATGTAGTATCATTTGAAATTAATTTCTAGTTGTTCTATTGCTACTATCTATTAATACATTTGAAAACATTAATCAATCATTATGAGACCACCATTAGAAACCTGAAAGCACTGGACGGCCGTTTCGTCCTGGTATAGGACTCATCAGCAGTGCGCATTCACGACTCCCACATCTCGCAGGACTCGAACTTGGGACCTTCGGCATTGTGGGCGAACGCCTAACCATTGGACCACTGAGCTGGCACCTGACGGTGTTAATGTCTAACTCTGATTGATCTAGGGATTTTGCGCGACCTCACCCATTTGTCTTGGGTAGTTACTGCCTACACCCGACAGGGTTGAACTCCACAGATCACGTCTTCTCACTAGAACTCCGAGAATTTCCTCATGAAGCTAGTCACTAATTAGCACATTTTACGATATTTTCGACTAGAATTATGGAGATTAGTGTTTTTACACGTTTGAAATTATCAATCAATCATTGTTAGACCACCATTAGAAACTTGGAAGCACTGGACGGCCGTTTCGTCCTGGTATAGGACTCATCATCAGTGCGCATCCACGACTCGCTCAAATTCCCTAGATCAATCAGAGTTAGACATTAACACCATCAGGTGCCGGCCCAGTGGTCCAATGATTAGGCGTTCGCCCACAATACCGAAGGTCCCATGTTCGAGTCCTGCGAGACGCAGAAGTCGTGGATGCGCACTGCTGATGAGTCCTATACCAGGACGAAACGGCTGTCCAGTGCTTCCAGGTTTCTAATGGCTGTCTAATAACGATTGATTGATGATTTCAAATGTGTAAAAACACTAATCTCCATAACTCTAATTGAAAATATTTAATTATAGTCCCCGTTTGTCAAAAAAATGTACAGACTTTAAAGGGGATAATGGAATTCTTACATGTAAACATTAACTCATTGGAAAAACTATCTAAAGCTAAATTCATCTTATTAATTATCATTTTACCTAATCAACTAAATTGTTATCCTAACCATCTAACTATAGTACTGAAATAGTCAGTCAGTCAGTTGCAACGTAAGAACTTCGCACGTATGTACATCTATGATCGAAGACTAGTAACCTACGAACATCATCTACTCTTAACAGCCATGTTTCGCATCCATATAGGAGAACGGAGCAAACTGCTGCGTAGTACACCCGTCCTTTGGTCAGCGAACGGATATCACGCCTACTGAAATAGAGGAATTTGGAAAATAAGTTAATTCGAATGGACCATGAGAGAAGTCAAATAAGTTATATCATTCTTTTAAGTCAATCGTTTTATTTCAATTAATACTGGTAAGATATTATACTTGATAGGTGGCTCGCAGTGTAATCCATGACGCACGTTTCGTCTTATTTGGAACCCGTCAGTCGGATGTACCTATATCCAAGTTTTGATGCTCTCACTGAGTCTCAACCCCAGTCATTAAGGCATTACTAAAGATTTCTAATTTACAGTTATTGATATGCAGGATTCTAAATGATCAGTTTCGATTAGGATAAGAGCATCTTGATATAACAGTTTCACAAGATTTTGTATATTTGTTTGTATGTATGATAACAGTGGTTGATCAATTTCAGTTTTAACCATCAACAACAGCAAAATTCAAACCCTTAATAACATTAGCTTAGTACTTAAATAAGTTACTGATTGTTACAATACGATGAGTAATGCCTTAATGCTCCCATTCTGCCGTTTACTACCCTTTAAAAGTAAAATATGACATGTTATGATTTTATTAGTTTAGTTATTCCTTTAATGGTTTTTTCAATAAACTAGTGATTTATACCGGACACATTTTATTAATACTAGTTGTCTATCAACAATTTAATCAAACAAGACAATTACTGGAAGTGATTTCTTACTGATTATATTCCTCTTATTTAAATCTGATTGTAATAGTTAATTAAACCACAAGTTTTCTGAATTTATGATACGTTGGTTCGTTTCCGGTTGCATTCATGTCACACTAGTTGAATTCTACCGATTCTGGTTTCTTATCATTATTGGACGGTCCCGTCATCAACCTGTTTACTTTCTCATCGAGTGAATAAACCGTTCACTATTTCGGATATCTATTTTTAAATGTCCACCTTTATGATAAACTGTGGTGCTAATCAATTAGACACTGTAACATGATTGTGGTTAATAATCACCTTTATAAACTTTTTGATAAGGTATAATATGGAAAATCCCGATTTTTCTACATAGCTAACTCGGCCACCCGAATGGCCTGTTGAATATCACTTATCTGTTTAGTTTGTCATTTGAAACACTGGGTCTTAAGCAAACCCTACAAGTAAGCAAAGTATCCGCGACTTATAGATTCTTATATACCGTCACATCAGTGAGTCGGCTGGCTACAACCTAGAACTTCGTACGTACATACATCAGTTCAAGTTCACATTAGCTCACAGAAATTGGATTATCAATTCAAATCCCATTCTAGTGAAGGTTATAGAAGTATTAGTAGTAATAGAAAAGATTAAGGTCCCAAGATGACTCGAGAAGTTAAGTCTAATGAAATTAACTTAAGAAGAGAAAAAACGGTCTTGAGCAATTCGGATTAGAATTTGGGACAAGACAAAGAGTGGATGCATCTGCGTCATTGCAAGTGATTTTGAGCTATATCATTCAAAGGCGCTAACCACTGATTGCGATTGTTTCGCGTATCCTAACCAAGTAGTCAACACCTACCTGCAATTCGTATAAATTGTGGTTGGTCGTATGGTAAATTCCTTTCCTGGGAAAAAATATTTTACAGATCCTATCACTACAATGGTGAAAAACAGTCATTAAAAGATTAGTCGACTTTTTATACTTTTTAAACTTATAGAGTGAAGCTATTTTGAAATTAGTTGTACAACATAATGACCAGAAAATTGAGATTGTTAAACACCGACAGCTATCAATTCAGTGGTCTATCTTACCTCCGACGTTTTGTTATGTTATATATCTAAGAGTTATAGTATCAAGTATACTCAACTCCCTAATCCTTGGATAACTTGATCGAAATGAAAACAACTGATCGAGAAAACAATCTATCTGTAATTTTGATCCCTTTAACTACACAGAATAATGGTGAATTATATCAGTGAAAACGAAGATTTAGGTAACAACTTTGCTGCTCAATAACAAATTACTCTATTATCATGAATTTCGAAGCATGTAGTTCATTGCTTAAAAAATCAAGTGACTACTAAGTCGTAGCATGGAGTAATTATCATACGTGATTTGGCTTATATTCAAACGAAATAGTCTACACTTTACTTTTGTATACGCCTACATTAAAAAAAGACGACAGGGAAACAATATAAAGAGAAAAACACATGTATGTAAATATTTATATGTACTAAAACCATCATAAATGATGTGATATAATATTATCAAATAGAAACAATAATGGTGGCAGACATCATGTTGCTCACCCTACACATACATGATTCAATGTTTAATGAGTTGAAATGAACAACAAACAAAAGAGAGAAATGAAACAACATCATTAAACAAATTGGTAAGATCATTGTATTTATTTAGCAAAAAGAAAAAAAAAAATAATAATAATAATAACAACAGAAAATTAAGTTGTCACTAGTGGGTTTTTTTTTATCATTACAGACTATTTCAAAAGAAGAACACGATATGTATAAGGTTGGTTTCACAGCCCTGTGCATATGTTTACGGATGAATTTATGTTAAAAAAAAGGCGGGAAAAAAAATTTTGAATACATCACATAAAAGTGTTTGTTTTTTCTCCTCTCCATGATGAGGGACACAGCCACTAAAACAAAAACTTCTCGAATGCATGCTATTATTATTATTATTATTATTATTATTATTATTTAAAGGAATTAGGGAAAAGTATCTATCTATAAAAGATGAACAATAAAATGGATATGGATATGGTAGTCATACGCGCAAAAGCGTCACACACACATACACTAAGTATTTGTATAATAATGATAATATTATTATTATTTCATTGATCGACATGCTTCATGGTACAAATAAATTATCAACAGAATAGAAAGGTGAACAAGAAAACATACTATGATTATATGTGGAAAACAAAACAAAACAAAAAAAGTCTTCAAGATATGTTAAAAATGAGAAAATACTCGTCAAAACTGGTAATACTTAACAAACAAAAAAAAGCCAAATAAACACAATAAAAGTGTAATATAAACGTGATATGCATGTGTTGTTATACAAAATGATTAGACAGATATGTATATGTTGGTTGATATGTAGTAGTTACACCAGTTTTAGTTGGGTTTGTTTAGTTTGTTTTTTTTTGTTGAATTGTAAAGAACAAACAAGATGCAGTCACAGCCAGAGTTCATCAACAGGATTGTCAAATAATCCTACCAAGTTAATACTTCATTTTCTTTATATATAAGCAATTTGATATATCAACGTTAAAATTGGCAGTGATGACAGTAGAAGTAGTAGTAGTAGTGTTCGTTAATAAAATGATATGATACGTAAGTAAATATATAATTGAAAAACAAACAACTTCAGAAGACATTCACAATGAAAGATCAAATGCAACCGGTGATTGCGTCCACTTTTTTTTAAATTTCCAGACAAATCTCTAGTATAGATATGTGTATGTTATTGATTGCATATGAGAAAGAGAGAGGAGATAAACCAATAGTATTTGTCATCATATTATTCGCAAAAACACAAAATGATGTTTTATTGTTGTGACCATAAAGTGGATAGAAAAGATATAAAACAAACAAAAAATAATACATTGTCCAGTAAATGTATTGATATGTTTAATAGATAGATGTAGTGTTAGCATACATTTCATGCAAAAAAAAAGACAATTTTATCACTAAATAATTCGATTAGATCATTTTAAAACAATAGAATAGAATGAAAGTACACAATGCGTAAACTGGTTATTTTACTATTATTATTATTATTTTTATTATTATTATTATTATTAATAGCAGTAGTATCATTATCATGCTGATTCTGCTGGGCCACTAAAACTGATTATTCGAAAAAACACATGATCCAGTGACATGTTTCTTTTTCGTTTGCTTGCTTCTAAATGCGCTGGAAAATGCTGCCCATCTACATATGCGTAGTATTAGTAGTTATTAAGAAATTATAGTTTACATATGCAATGTCTATTAAAACTTAAGAATCGATTAAGAGAATATTAATGATGACGGTGACGGTGATAATAATAATAGTAGTATTAATAGTAACAGTAATAATACCATGGTTTAGATCAATGGAAGCGTAAAATTAGTGTTCAGTGTTTTGCTAAACAATATACTTTGAAATCTAATAGTATAAACCATTGAATTGTTTAGTTAGTTACCACTTTGGTGTTTCTTCATATGTAAAGTAAGATGATCACTGCGTGCAAAAGCCCGATGACATGTTCTACATTGAAATGGTCGATCACCAGTATGTTTCCTGTAATGACGGGTTAATTCATCTGATCGAGCAAATCTCCAAGCGCAACCAGGCCAATCACATGGGAAAGGCTTTTCCCCTGTGTGTACACGCATATGAGCTTTCAGATGTGAACTCTTAGAATATGCTTTTGCACACGTGCTAAAAGGACAAGTATGAATTAAAGCTATCGACTTTTTAGTTCTACCACTAGAATTACCCACAGTGCCCTTAGTTGAAGCATCACCTTTAGTTTTGTTTGTACGTGTTCGACGCATAGGTATTAGTGAAACTTCCCCAGACCCCGGCATATTACATCCAATTATATCTGTATGAGATTCCATTCCTAATTCCATAACTGGACCTTTATTTCTACCAATATTGTTAATGTGGGTAGAAACTAATGAAGAGTTCCGGTAAACAGTGTTATCACATGTAGTATTTAATGATCCAAAGCCAAGATTTTGACTAGGTGATACAGTTCTTGGTGCTAATACTCGAAAGGTTGTATTCACTGGAAGATTTGTATCATCAACTTTATACATATTCATATAATAATTTGCATTTTGCGTTCCACTATGATAGTCTTGTATTGTATTGACATTATGTACTGTACTATTATCATTTATTGTATTTATAACGGAACAAGTCGGAGGCAAAGGATGTAGTTGAGAATGATCAACTCGATTATTCTGTGGTAGATAAACCGATGCGATATTGTTTTCAGTCATAATATTACCATTGACAGAGTTAGTAAGATTTGTAACATTAGGATAAAACCGTAAAGAAGATTGTTCTTGATTTTGTAGACTTGATTGACAATTTTGGTATGGATCTACTGGTGGCATATCTGTTGTTGGAATAACTGACGGCATATAAGCAAGAGAAGATGTTGAATGCTGTGATTGTAATTCGCCAGTTCTTGAATCATTGGTAGTCTGAATATAATGCCCTGTATCTAGTACTCCATTACAACTTGAATTATAGGTACAATTGTTCGGTACATTTGTAGTCCAGTTATATGAATTATTTTGATTAATTTCTGAACAATGTTTATATTCAGAATTTTCAGGGAAAATAGGCTCTTGTTTTATTTCGATTGGCGAATTATTTGAACCAAGATCATAATAATATTTTGTATTTGAATTTTTAAAAGAAGTAGGATTGTGAGAACAAACTACATCTGAGTAAACAGGTCGTAATTGAGATACCGGTGATTTAGCAAAAGAATAATTCACATTCATAACAGAATTAGGATAAGTACAATTACATATATTATTAGATACGTCCATTGTTTTCTGTGTAGCGCTATTCTCAAGGATAAAATCTAAATCGAGTAAACTTTCATATTCATTACTTGAAGTACTACTGTTACATTGTTCCGTACGAAAACTGCTTCCAATAGATGAACATTGTTCTGAAGTTGTAGGTGATGTTAAACCTGAGAGATTGCACATGTATGTTCCTCGTGACTAAAAAGAAAAGAATGTGAATTCAGAAGTAAATTATTATTTGGAAAGATAATTCTTCAATATGTTCAATTAACAGAAATACTATAGGAAATTACATGAAAAGATAAACTAAATATAAAAAAATATGCTTCATTGAGTATTGAACAACTAGTCAAAATTTTAAATTGTTTTGGCTCCTGTTTCCCCTCTCAAGAATTCATTTGATGAATATATCAAAATAAATTTATTGGTGATTCATTTGTATGTGATTAAATATATCGACTAAAATCAATTAGATTTTTATCCTTGCTCTAAATGACACTACAAAAAACACTGATAATAGTTCCAAAGTTTTAAAAAATGTATAATTTATATATTAAAATTGATTTTCAATATAAAATGTAAGTGTGACTACTAAATATACCCAAGAATAAAAACCATTCTTGAAAACTTTACTGTATTAAAAATATAATGCTACAAAGTTAAGCATTTGTGGTTTAAATCAATTATACTGTCATGAAGATAATCTATTTGTTAAGTGAAAGTTTTTCCAAATCATTATTATCTAAATAAGTACTGAAATCCGAGAACTTTAGAATAACTATTATTAGTTTTCAAAGTAAAACTACACTACCAGAACTTTTATTTCTTAAGAGGCTAAAATTTAAAATGACCAATGACTCATTCAATTACTGGTATTTTTTTCATAAAAGAATTAGTCTTTAGTGCTCATATGAGAAATGCTTGATCTTTAGATTTTAGTCCAAACTGTACTTCAAAATAACTTAAAAATCAGTAATTTTCCAGGCATTCTAGCAACACAAATGGAAACCTGCAACTTAATGAAGGGAAAACAAGTATATCTGAGAAAATTGACAGTTTCATGAACTTTCGAGGCTTATAAGGCTGAACATTTCTGTTTAAATTTATTGAACGTAAATATATCAATCTTTACAATATGACTAAATGAGTATTATTTCTAAAACAAATAATTACAAATTATGAGGGAACTCAACGCTTAAAATTAACAAGAGAGAAAAAGCAACTACTAATACATTCCAATTAAATAATTAAGAAAGAAAAAAACATCTTGGATATGAAATCTAATTACAAATATAAGTGTTGCAATGCCAAACTCATAAAAGAAATCATAAATCATTAGAAGTAGGATACTATATTTAAAATGGACAGTAATATTTAGGTCTACAATACATAACATCATTATTTTCCGTATTCTAATATTATAAAATATATGTAACCATTTACTTGATGTTTGGAAATATGATGAATTCAATTCCAAAAACTTTATTCAGTATTTACAAGAAGTATGTTTACGGTAAAGTAAGTGTATACTCCTAATAAAAGCAAAAACAACTGAGATATGTCATTCACTGTAAATATTCTAACAGACTATAAAAAAAAACAGAGCAACATATTACACAATCAATCATACATTACTACTTATTGAGTATACGATTAAAAAGAACCATTTGTAAATAGCTTTCAGATCTAATGATAATACAAATAGAATAGCTACTAAATTTAATTATTAGACTTTCAGATTATCCTTGTTCAAGAACACAGTTATGATGTCAGTGATATAATCATTTCGAAACTAAATGGATTTTGAATTTCGAGAAGTGAATTTGTGAATGGCCATCTAGGTTATCCATTAATATCGATCATAATATATTTAGGCATTAAACTTTTAACTGCTGAAGCGTAAGATAGTAAAGTAGAACATTCAACAGATGCACTGCATATGAGATTTCAATGCTTTCGAAAATTATCCTTAACTATTTTCAACCGCCATCTATCTTGGGTGTGGAGTAGTTGTTTAGAATATAAACCTTAAGACTGTTGATTTGTAACTCGCATCATCCCGTTAATCAATTCTTAACGTCAGAAATCTTACGGTAAGTACTTTACATCTTTGTCCTTTAATTTCTTCATTACGAAAAGTTTATGGTTAGACTACGCTGAACTGATTAACAGTTAGTCAAACACATGTAACACGTTTTAAAAAAATATGATATAAAAATTTCTTTAAACAAAGAAAATTCCGAACATCACAAATGGAGCTTCAGGAGAACTTTTCTAGTATCAGATAACAGTTAAACTTATGCATAATCATACTTTACTATTTAGGAAATCTACGTCAGCTTTGAAAAAAAATCACCTACAACAACTATGGAAATTGATGTATTTTGAGAAACAAAGAGAAGGAAAAATCAAAATACCATTTTGCATACTCATTATAATATATATGATCACATGTTATTTTGGCGTATATTCTAAGATAAGAATATCCAAAATTCATTCTATTTAAAAAAAAAAAGTAAACAACTTGTCCCCTTAGTAGTAAACAATAGTATTAATGAGGAAGTCATGATCAATAAATCAATAATTCAGTCAACCGATATATCTCTCAGAATAACAAGATATGAACTATTTTGTGAAGCATTTGTTACAATAATGAAAAAATAAGTCAACACAACTGATAACGCTTTTTACAACGATATATTAAATGTTTTCGGATAAATTTTTGTTGTTATCGACGGGAAAAAATATTTGATGATAATATAGACAGGGAATCAACTATTAAAATTGTTTAGATCGTGTTTAATTAACATACATGTAGTTCAACAGAATAAAGATGCGCTGTTATTCAAACTATCGTTTATAACAATTACTGTATAACTGAAATCCTTTTATTAATTAAAATAATATTACGCCTAACATAATGCAATCATTGCTACCATCCAATTGAAAACAAAGAACTTCATTAATGAATTCTAGAAAATAGTGATGAAAATGACAACCGTGAACAGGTTAAGTTGTCAGTGATATTAAAAATCCGAAACGGTAGCTTGAAATTTATCTGTTCATCAAGACTTCATAAACACAGATCACGTGACTCAGAATACTATCATAGTAAATTAACTGATAATTAATCTCTTAGCAGTTCAAATACGCAGAACTCAACTGTTGAACTTAGAGACTACGAAAATAATAGCCTATGTCAATTATGTGAAGTATTTTATTCCTATGAATTAAAATTCTAACAAAAGATTATAGTAACCAGATAGATACAACAATAATTTATAACGTTCAAGCTCCGTGGCATCAAACTGCAGTTTGAGAACGATACTACAAATAATTTATGTCAACTTATGTTCTCCCGATTTCGTAAAGAAAAGATCTAAGACTTGGATTCGAGGGGCTACTGTACTTTAAATGTCCGTCTATATCATTTGATTTGAGTAATTTAGCCTCACACGTAACTAAGTAAAGAGTTACTGTACTTCATACAGCATAGTCTGTGAGAAAGCAAAGTAGTATTTTCTTCTATTTTAGTCATTATTATATTTATTTATGGATTAGGATACTGCCCAAGAATGCATACCGTAGCAAGTAGTTTTCTTAGGAGGCTACTCGCATACTCTTAAAAACACAGACTTTTGCAGCTTGGACACGTGTTATGAATGTCATCCCAGCAAATTTGACATCATGCACCGTTTGTTGACGCTGGGAATGAATGAATAAAGAGGAGAGGTGCTAAAATTCATGATAAGGCGTCGTGATCTGGACGCTGTAAAGAATTGGCACCAATAGAGCAGTTATTACACCTTGACTGTAGTCAAAGGGATGATGCAACTCAGTTGCTTTAAATATTGTCATGGACATTGTTCATAATAGAAGCCGATAGAGATCCTGTTTTAATTTCCTTTTACACTTCACAAAAGTGAAAGGAACTTCAACTGAAAGAATTGTTTCTCCTAACATAAACTAATCTTGTTCACCTTCTTATTACAGTTTTATTTATTTATTCGCTTTGGTGATACGCTGTACTCTTTCATTCATCTCCACACAATCTCACAGTCGTATCCATGTATTGCATATTCATACCAATTTTTACGTATTCGAATAAATTCATGGAAATTCGTATAAAAAAAAACAAACGTAAGTAAATTAAATGCAAAAATCTATCTAGTCTTACTAAAATTGTAAGCTCAAAACTGACATCAACAACACTTAAGTTCTCAATGAATGTCTACTGAAAAACACATACATATTAAAAATTATTATACTTCTCATTTATAACTACTGTAATTTTTTCTAATACCATGTGATTCAAAAGTGTACATGATTTAGATTATAACACTCCATAAATGTTAACGGGAAGTCTTTCTCTAAACATTTCTGAATAACATTTTCTTCTTGTTTAATGTTGTAAACATCCATCGAAATGTATAGTTTGAATTCAGCAGACTTGACTTATTCAGTTGGTCAGCTACAACGTGAAACTTGGTACGTACGCACATCATTTGGACTTGCTGTACCACATTAGCACAAAGAGATGGCATTATCAATTCAAAGCCTTTACTCGTAGAGGTAGTAGAAATACTAGAGGTAATGAAGAAGATTAGAGTTTGAAGAAATTATTCAAGAAGTATAACCTAGTGACATAAATTTAAAAAGAGAAAAAACCGTCATGAGAAATTCGGATTAGAATTTGAGAGAAGACAGAGAATGAATGCATCCGCGCCACTGCAAACTTGTAGATTATAACACTATATAGTTCATTATGAATCATTGATATAAAACTATAAACTTTATATCTAACACTAGGACAACTGTTCTCAAAAATAAAAGCAAAAACCCAATTTGGAAGATGTATGTTTAAACCTGGAATGATGCGTTTGTATGCACATAGTGTCTGTGTTGTCAAATATCAGTACCTCAATGTGTAGAAAGATGATAATTTGCATAGAGTTCTAACCAAAGATAGATAATGATTAGTAGTGGAATCCAGAACACTAATTTCTACCTATTCGGGATTCATCAGCTGGATGCTTACTCCAAGACTCGAACTCAGTGTCATTTGCTTCAAATGCCATCGCGTTATCCTTTTAGCTAGTGAACATCAACTCTGAGATGCAGGTACATGTATCTGACGAATCCTAAATGTGATGAAACACTCGTCCCAGATTCTACTGCTACCTGATTATAATAATCTGATTATAATGCTTATGAATCACGGGCACAGGATGCACGTATGCCAAATGAGATTGATCAATTACAGTCTTAAGCATCAATGGGTAGATTCAAACAACCAATATGAATCATACAGAGCTAGTTTTAACTGAGAGAATGACATTTATTAAGTACTGTACTGCAAGAAAAGTTAACACTTTCAGTTTACTCAAAGATTATAATAAAATACATTTACACTATGACACGAATTACCAAAGCGCAAATTCTTTGGATTATTAACTAAATAGCACTGATTTATTAATCTACTAAACCTGAAAAGCAACTAAAAATAAAACACTGAGTTTACTCTACGGAAATTAAAGAATTACTGAAAAATATGAGCCGAATCTTAATTTCTAAATCTCTGTACTTTACACTAGAGTCCTTTAGTTTGTCTACATTTATTTAAAGGACGTTAATCTCAATGTTGTATAATGCTATGAACATATTTACGTCCAAATCATTCTACTTGGTAACAGATCATTAATTTCATAACTTTTCCTTTCTTTCCAACTGGGTAGTGGTTTATTCTTCACTTTCTAGTCTCAAAAATATATAAAACTGTCTATTGTATATATATATATATATATATATATATATATATATATATATATATATATATATATACTTCACATAAAGAAATAAATGTATGGTAGTAAAATAAATAGCTTATTTCCCCAACAGTTTATTGAACCTTTATTGATTGTTTACCTGTTTGTGAGGTAAAACTACCAATTTTTAAACAAAATTAGTAAGAATTGTTTCCCACAAAAAACACAGTAACTAGAACAGAGAAACTTTTAAAGATATATAAAATGATATTAGAAGCTAAATTAATTATACTCTGAAATAGAAAATTATCTTCATATTCTTAAATGTAGCTCCAATAACTGTAAAACTAATAATTTATGATATAATATTCGGAGCATGTTAACTTCAGTGAAGTTATAAGAATTGAGATCAATAAAGTTATGAAATTGACTAAACAAATATGTATTATTGATATAAGCTGTCTTAATAGATGAAGAAACTTTCAATATCGTGTTAATTACTGATTTATCTAATGGACACAGTCTTACAAAGAGACAATGTGTCTGTGATAGATACACCAAATTTAAAACAGTCTATTTATCAAGAGAACCTTTAATCAATTGCAATTTCAATTGACCTCCTAAAAAGTATTACAACTGAAACCACCGTGCTTTCGATAATTTATGTATGGTGTGATTATGGTGTGATTCAGCTAGGTTGGTACTGAATAAATGCTAGTTATTTTAATGAGAAATAAAATCACAATCGTTACCAGCCCTCTGGAGCCTTCTGTATTATTTAACTGAACCTATTATTTGTATTCAAGTATTTTAACTACTGAGAATCCATTTCTCTTGCCAAGTTTCCGGTAACATTATAAGACTAAATTCCGAAACTTTGAAAAACTTTCAGAAGTGAGTCATCTAGTACACAAAATAGTGATACTGTGTGGTTGAGTAGACAGGACTCATCTTGAAATTGAGTTATTGGTTGAGTCAATTCCCTCAAGAAATAATCATGACTTCACAAATCAGTGGCATGCAAAAAATAAAGTGCGGAAAAAAACATGCCATCCACATACTCTCGAGACTTTAGTGTCCGAAAATGTGTAATGACAAAACTAAAACATTCAAGTATGATGTAGGTGATTTTCAATTATCTTAAAGGCGAACTTGACTTGTTTGTTCAGTTAAAAGAGCGATTTCCGAATACAATGTTGGACATTATACTAACTCGCTGTTTCGAAAAGTTATGTCAGGGGGAAATGTTTACAACTTAGAAGGTTTCTCTCTAGCCAGTGTAGAGTTGAAATCGTTTAAAATCATTTTCTTTGACTCTTTCGGTTCTGAAGACTAATCTAAACTACATTTCCATTGTATTTATGTATATGATGGCTATTATCGTTCAGTTAGTTAAGAAGTACGAAATTCTAAATAATCAAAATCAAGTAAAATATGTATAATTAGGTAATTAGGTAATTTTGATTTGATCGACAAAATACAGTTTTTGATACAAAAAGCTTCATAAGATCAGACTACAGTATGGACCAAAAACTTTTTAAACAATTAAAAACCATTTGGAGATTATGTACATTTTTGATTTGAGCTCATGAAAGATAACTATTACATGGAAAAAAGTTTGCTACAGTTCATAAGACTTTCCTATCCAAGAGTTCTAAATATATTGATCCACTGGCTTTACGAAGTATTTTGCATCAACTAACTTATGCATTAATGAACCTTTAAGACATAGTCTGGTAAAATCTTTGATTGTTACATATGAGAAAAGACCAATAAACGAAATTTACATATATAACCATCGATTGGAAATACTAACATGAAGAAATCGGAATAAGGTTATTGACAACAAAAGCCTTGAAGATTGACAACAAGAATAGACATTAAGGCTTCAAAATACGAGCGCTGTTCTTCATGGGACGGAAGAGATTCCGGAGAAATATGTCAGTAACAGTTCCAAGAGGTAATAAAATGAATAACAAAGACAGCTTTGTAATCATATCTAACTAGAAGAAAAAGATCTTGACATAAATTATCACATATAATAGTCCAAATGTCCAAAAATTAATCGGTTTTAGCTCATAGCTCTCAAAAAAGATTAGAACTAATCTCTATTACAGTAGAGTACAACTCAATGAAATACTGGTTACCATATTTTTGGTCAGTAGGAAGTCTGACTTATCACAAATATTAATAACTCGGCATCTGCCAAATAACACACAGAAAGTAGATGTGAATTGGTAGTTATGAGATCAGTAACTTGAAAATCACTGTATCAAGAATAAATGGAAATGCCAAATTAGTTAGAAAATCCTTTAAATACCTCCGATACAAAACATTAACTGTAAAAACACTAATAACTTAACGAAAAACCTCAACTATTTAAACTTAACTTACCTTATAATCATAAATTTCTTCACGTTTCAATGGACTAGAATGCATGTCATAGAACCCTTCAAAACCCATTGCCATCATTTCAGTCATGTCCACTTGATGTCGATTCAACGTGAAAAAAGTCAAAAATAATAAAGTACAACTCCAAAGGTGATGATGCACTGACTTTGGAACGACTACATCAGAGGACGAAGTTCTCACCTCAAATAGCTCCGAACTGATTCAGAAATTTCTGTTTGTCTCATACGGTGGCTTATTGAACTCAAAGGATGTTTTTGATTGGCTAGGAATTTAGCCTTGATAGCAAGATAGACCTGTCCCAGTGGCCTTGTGTCCAACTAACCAAACAGCTGTATAAATGTTTATGGCCTAATGATATATCACTGTCTATATAGTAGTCAGAGCGTACGATACACACATGAGCAAGAACATTTAGAAAAATTTGAGTTTAAAATGAATTCACGCGGGACATATTTTAGTCGACTAATCATCCCTAAGACGACTGTTACCTGTCTTATTCATGCCTTAGAAATAAAAATAATCCCTCTCCTCTATATTATAAAATGACTCACTCAAACAAAATGACAGTTTAGGCATTGAAAAGGGAAAACAATAAGGGCTACGGCGAAATCATAACGGAAAAGTGAGTCACTTCTACTCAACTTAGATTACTATGGTCTATGTTAGTTGACTAAACTTAAATCAGGTGGTCGTACTATATTAAATCCATACATTTTTTTGAGTCTTATTTGTAAATAAAGTTAAAAATTGAGCAATAAATCTATCCAACTTTATTTTAGTAACTAAAATTTATGAGTTAGGTTAATTTATTCTACTATTAGTGTTAGGATTTAATTAGCTAAATTTAATATTAAGTTTTATTACAAACTTGGTGGCGATGACTCTCGAAATTCCTAAACCGACTGTTAGTATTTTCTGCTTTCATTACCGTCGTTGAACATAAAATAACTAACCAAATCAGTTTAGTCACATTTCAACCCTTTTTAAAAAATTCCGAAGACAACTGTAGACTAAACTATGTCCACAGCTTTATGCAGGATGATTAGAAATGATGCACAATACTCAAAGCTTAAACTTGTTTCTTAGTGAATAAATTTTATCATCACCAACTGACTGAGGGATATCCATAAATGTGGTTTGTTTTCTAGGAATTCTTCGAGTCCATGATTAAAGACACAAACACTGAAACCTAGGAAGCCCTAGATAGGCATTTTATTCTTGGATGGGATTCCTCAGTTGTGGTCATCTACTACCTTACCGGGCTATAACCCACGAATTTCGGTCTCATGAGTGAATGCTTGACCTATAGACCACAGGGCCGGCATCAAAAGATGGGCATTTGTCTTTTGCTTTCATATTTTATTATGTCATGAAAGGATTAGACATTAGTTCTTGTGCTAGATGACTTAAATACCAATCTAACTACAATCAACTCATGATTTAAACAATCATATTTCTACAATCCACACAACCCACCAAATACAAATAAGAGTTAAAATAAATAAATCATCAGATGAAATTTTACTCATTAGTGGCTGGTGCTTACCCCTTAAAAACATATTTTAAGTGTGGATCTTTGAGATATTTCTTTCAAGTTAATTATTCTCACAATTTGGTATATAGAAGTGCAGTAATTAGCCTGTTAACCATAAAGTTGACTTAGTGATCGTTGAAGTGTTTTTATTACTATTTCAGAATGATCAGAGGAAGCCTATTAGTTCAAGTATTCAGATTTGCCGATATCATTTTTTGAAATATTTCTTTTAATACACAGATGAAATAATTTACAGTAGTAAACTAAATATATTCACTTAATCAGAATTGGGTTACATAATCAATATTTAATACCTGACACTCATACCACTCATATCTACTGTAACAATTTATTATACTCTTAACAGTTTTGTAAAGAAATAATTCACTTTAAGAAACTAGACTAACCTAACTAATCATTGATATGAAATAATATTGTTTAGTCTTACCTAATTTACACTCTAACTGTAATAACAAAAACTAAGTTTCGCAAACTCATAAAGTGCCACATTAAACTGTTGCCAAATTCATGAATGACATGCTTTGAAAATTGATTCCCTTTCTATCTGTAAATATTGGAAATCTTAAACATGTAACATGTCACTTAATCAAGGAAAGCGAAAAGACGTGTAGTGATGACATTTGGGAGTGATACAGCTAAATTATTATTGTTATCGTTACTGATTATTACATACCATCGTATTTTATTGGTAGTAATGTGATTGAAAAAAAATCATGGAAAAGGTTTTCAATAGTTCTTTGTTAAATTTAGGTTGTTATCTTAACATTTACTGCCAATATTCGATAATGATTCGTAAAATACCAAACATTTTCAAATAAAATACAAAATATTCGTGAATCAAGAATTCCCTTTGACACTTTTTAGGTAACTTAATACCTGGGAAAGAAATCCCGTATTAAAACTAACTCTACAGAGTTAAAATTGTCAACAAAAAAGAACCTTTTTAATCGGCGATGCTTTTCTCAATAAACTTTTGTTTGTCTTTTTAAAAGGGAATAATCACTTACAATACAGTATTCAGAAAACCATTGGATTTTGGTTTTGTGCTAGTTGTCACTCGTCACTTATAATTCTCAGTGTACTGATCCTCCCTGTGTGACACAAACTCGTACCAATAAATTACATATTATGAGAAGTTCCCGCTAAGCTATTTGATGTGTGACTAACCCCCTATCGACTAAGATATTTTTATTTATCAATTACTGAGTAACAATCAATGTTATGTTCGTCTAGTTTTCAAATGCTGATCGAATTCTATTTACCGGGTTATAAAATTTCAACTTACTGAACAAAAGTTTTAGATCATTTAGGCTAGTGATTGCATTACAACTTGATCAAAAGAACTCGATCAACATAAAAAAAAATAAATATGACATTAATATTACTATTCAGTGATCAACAACTGTAAACTATGATTTTTATAAGATGTTACTTGATATTTTAAGCCTAAAACTAGTACTTCTAATTAGCATGTTAGTATGTGGTGCGCCTGCAATTCCTGTTATCACTAAAAATGGCTTATTTATATAAAACTGGTCAATATATGGTAGTTGTTAGATGGTTAAATCATCTAATAAGATAAAAATACTGAGTGACTATGCATATGACCAGTTAACATTTATGAACTTTTTTTTTATCTCACAGACACTATATTTATATAGATTAGAAATGAGAGAACTCTGTAAAGATTATGTAGTAGAAATTTTAATCATTAAGACGTTTCAAATGTATCAAACCTGTGATTGACACTCTAATCTCTTCAGTTATCAGTCAGTGTATAGTCAATATTTGTAAACATTTTAAATCTCCTATAAGTTGAGTAATATTTCTCGTGTCTTTATTGCAATGTCAGAAAATCATTTGTAAATGTGAATGAGGTGATTCCTCTTTACAAGTCTTTCATACTTGAAACTTCTTAAGTTCATAATAATTATAATGGAAAACTGTTCATTATCAATATAACTGTCATTGGCAGATGTTTACTATGAACTTTTCAAAAATTTAAAAAAAGCCTACTAATATTATGATTAACAAATGAACCGTTCACAGCTTTATTTGTAAAAAATTTCATTAAGCAAAACAATAATTTTCAGTGGACATTTGTTTTTCATTCTCATTTTTTTTTTATTATTTCCTGAAAGGATCAAACATTAGTTTATACAAGCAACTGTGTTCGAGTATATATATATATATATATATATATATATATACATTTCTTCACTAACAAGGCTCTCAAATATTTAATTATTGTTCTAATCACATTTTCATTGGAACCCAAGCAGTCTAGATGCACAATGGGTAACAATGGTAACATTGTAAATTATCTGAAAATTAATAAGGAAATTCACTATATAATAGTCTGTGCAAATTAAAAATTTACCTAAGCTATAAATTGGTTCATTTACCGGTATTTTTTTTTATAAGTATATTGTCCTGACATACCTAATATGAGTAATACGAAACTGTTTATGTTTAACAGTAATATACTTAGTTTTAACAGTTTTATAATTCCCACATAAATTGAACAAAATTAATAAGTATTGTTTAAATGCAGTGAAGATTAAATTTGTATTATTTAATCATTGTGTTTTAAACTGTTGATATTGTCACAATTTAGACTGCTTTTTTCACTAAAATGGATTGTATTTCTTAGACAGTGTTTACAAATATATCAAATAGATTGATTGTAAACTATTAGTCATTGAATGCAAGAATATAATTATTGTCATAAAGTAAACACAAATTGTCTGTGTCAAATTTTGAATAGAATTAATTGTTTTTAAAATGTTTTTTTTTTCTTTTCAGTAGAAACATCTACATAAAATAATAACTGGATTTTTATTTACCTGATTTTGTTTATCATGAATATATAGAGAATGTGAAATGTTATAAAATGGAATTTTTATTTATGACATTTTTAAAATCATTCAGTCATATTTTAAAAATATCTTCTATAGAATTTACAAAATTTTTGCCAATAGACATTGAACATTTTTAAACTTCTAGAAGCCACAGGCCATATAACAAAGGATTAATGTCTACCAAATAATATATATATATATATATATATATATATATATATATATATCTGTTCACTTTGTAATATGAAACATTAACTAAGTGCTTCAGAAGAATACATAAATATCCTTTAAATACTGACTATAGAACCGTGATTAAAGAATTAAAAATAGAGATTAAGTTTAATGACTTAATGTGTCGTTGAATCCCAGTTATCATTCAGTCGATAAAATGTCTGACTATTCCGAAGCTTATATTACACTTGTCAACAAATCAATCTTTAAGCCAACTAACTGTCCAAGAATAATTGCAGAAACTAAATTCCAATTTTGTACTCCCTAAAATACATTGACATATATTATATTGTTACAGAAATTACTTAAATGTTAATAAAATATTTTGATGATTAATTTCCTAATGCTTAAATGTACAATAATAGACCATAATAATTCTTCAACGTTGAAATGAACAAACAAAC